GTACAGTTTATAGGTTACATTAAAGGTGGGAAATAGCTTTGAAACGGTTTATCGTGATCTAATGTTTTTGCATCACAAAAACCCAGCATTTTACCATTGGTGTGTACACTTTTGATAAAGAAAACTGTAGGTTCCCCCCTCAATAATATACACTTAATAGCCATGCTTCTCGAATTAAAATATGAAGTATGTATGGATGAAAGGGTGTGTGTATATACAGTACATATATATGTATTTTTGAGGAGGTATGTCAAGTGCCAGGCCTTCAAAAGAAAACCAATAAAGCAAAAGTTAAAACATGGCACTGAGTATTTTGAGTCTAGTCAATAATATATTCCAGCTAGTGATCATTGGAGTAATTCCAAAAAAGACAGGAACACTGTCAGGGTTGTGTAGTGAAGAACACTGTGGTTTATGGTAAAACGATTGGTACATCCCACTAGCTGCATGTCTCTATAGTTAGGCAGTGATGTTAAAGTAGGAAGGGCTCCTAGCTAGGGCTGGCTCAGAGGGGAGTGCGTTAATATTTGTAGATTAATAAATGTTTTTTCTTTGTGTTTTTATTCCAGTCAACCAGTTCTTTTAAAAGTGAGACAAGCAACAGACCATCTCTCCTAACAAAAAGGTCACACATAGTGAAGTAGAGTGCAAACAAGCAAATTAATATATAAACAAATTAATCAATAGATGAGAAAAAGCAACAACTACCAAGTCTAGTGAAGGAGGATGAAAGAGTGATACAAACATTTCATATTGAAATCTTAATTTTAGATTAGACACTGTATTTCTTATTAAAGCTAACTGTGAGCAAGTATGTTTGCATCAAAGGCTTCACAGTAAATTAAAGTACAGGAAGGCAGAGCAGAAGGCTAAACAACTGAAGATTTAACGTGACCCTGTCCAAAGTATATGGATTATATTTATATAATGAGAGGTTTTCCTCTGGCTGTCCACAGTGTCCTGACGGAGAGAGCAGGCTCACCAACACCCAGCTGTGTTTCCGTGAGGAGTGACGGGTCAATGGACCTACCAGTCCACTTCAGAGAGGTACAATTTCCATCAGATCAAAGGTAAATGTGCATTTAACCCAACATTGTTTATCACACTAAGATTCTCAGTCAAAAGGCACACAGGCACTCACAATCTATGAGAAAAAAACTTTCTAATGGATATATAATTTTTTAACTTTTGTAAATCTCATTGTCTTTGAGAATTTAAAAAGAGGTTCTGTCTTTTCTAAGTTACATCTGAGGTAAAAGGATGAGGATTACCTGTAAAGACTGACTTCCTGTGCACTGGATTTGGAAGCTAATTAACTGAACAGTACATTTTAGATTTCAGTCCTCAGTTTACAGAGCAGGTTAGTGTTTGTAAATTAATAAAAAGACCTCAGCATCTTTTTTCTTCTCGTTTTTTTACAACAGTCAGCCAGTTATTTTACAATTGAGGCAACAGACCTTCTCCTAACAAAAATGGTCACACATAGTGACGTAGAGCACAAAAAAACAAATTAATATATAAACAAATTAATTAATAGACAAGAAAAAGCAACAACAGCCAAGTCTAGTGTAGGAGGTTGTAACGATACTGAATGTTTCATATTGAAATCTTAATTTTAGATTAGTCTAGGGCTGAACGATTCATCGATTTTAAATCTAAATCATCATTCGAAATGACAAAATTAAGAAAATCGCAAAGAGTGAAAGGACCATCTGACCCAGGGTTTAAAACTGTTGTGATAATAGTTTTACAAATTCATGTCGTCCTCCTTTTGTGACTGTCATTCTCACCAATTAGAATTGCTGTGCTCTTCAAGTGTGAAGTTTGTGTTTACAAAAAAGTTTTCACACTTGTGTTTTCAAAGAGATATATTTGCACCTTTACATTTGCACATATTTTTCGAAAATAGGTTACAACCACAAATCAGGATTACAAATGCACAATAAGGGACGGAAACCCTGTGTTTAGATTTCTTAGCATCCTGAAGGCATGTGAATGGAGCAGCATTATGATAGTCACGTGAATCCAGCCAATAATACCGGAAACAAAAGTCAAATGATTTTTGACTGGCTGTCAGGGTTTGAGGCACACAGATACCGCCCACTTGCTGCTAAGTGTCTGGCTGTTACAGGTGTACAAACCTTTGGGTGCGTGAGAAAGCTGCCAGAAATCCCAGCATTTCGGGCGCACATTAACGTTTGTACCCTTGTAATCCCAAGGGACAAAATAAATCCCTTCTGGTTCAGCAGGTTTGTTTTCAGCTGAAAGAGAAACAGGGGTGCTCTCTGTGAAATCTGGGGGAGGGGGTACCATGCTTGTGGATCGAATGGACAAATTTCTATATTTGTAAATTGGCATATGTTTTATTTAAACCAAAATTGTTATATAAATGGTTTGGCATGAACATTTAATCTATGTGATTTGATAGTAAAAAAAAAAAGTACCCTCCCCAAATTCCGCCCCTGGATAGTTTGGTGATTAAGTCGATATCTGTGTGAAATCATATTAATCACTTTACAAGCAGTAACCCCTGAATGTTACTGAGTGACTGGGAGCTACAAGCCAAACCGTCCCTCCTGGCTGCTACCTGCTGTCTCTCTGTGCTGCCACTAGATGTCACTGCTTCTCTTATACTGTCATAAGCAAGCTGATGTCAGGAAGCCGCCCTAATGAAATAAGCTCAGAATGTGGATGGCAGTTACATCTATTTAAATACAAATGTAGGTTATTATTCCCCCAGCAGCAGCAGTGGTAGTCAGTGTCAGTGCAGGACCTTTGTCTCAACATAAAATGCCTATTTTAGCAGCGGCACA